ATTCATTGCTATGCGGATGACACTACGGTTGACGCATTATATACCGACCGGGCCCATGGGCCCGATAACTCTCCTGCTTATGGCGAGATGCCTCTTTGCATTTTGCAAATGTCTGCATTGGATCTGCCGCCAATGGGAACCGTAGAGAATGGGATAAAAAGTTCCATTCCCTGAAGCACCACATCGGCGACAGAATCAGCGATGGCGCTGGGATCATCCAGCAAGAAGCAAACCTTGCTCCACGTATAAGATGCAAAGAAGGACCGCATCCCATCCCAATCTGCTAACCTGTAATGCCACACTCGACGGAAACTCACACAGCGCGTAGGCGTACCGCGCGCGATGGGCACTACGCTCCGGACCAGACAGTGGTCTGACGAGCCAAGGGGGGCATCGACAGAGACCTGGTGGACCGGAGAGATGTTTGGAAGAGTGGTCAGCAGAAGGTCCAACAGGGAAGGAGAATGATCTGGGATCCGCGTAGGCATAGTGACCAGCTGTGTCAAATCATTCTGTCACAATGTCTAAACAAATATTGTTTGCTGCCGTGCCATCGATTCATGATTTTATTTAAAGCTTGTTTCGAAAAACCTGTGGCTTTGTTTTGTTCTGTCAAAATTTTATCTGATAAATCAATAATTAACACTTTTTATGTGCGAAGTGAATAGGCAGTTCCCCTGATGTTAAGTGATAACCGACGCCCATGGACATTTGCAACACCCGTCGGGTGGCATATACATTGCCACCTTTTAATGAAGTGGGCTGCGATTACCTCACCCACCAGACGAAACGCAAAAGTATAACACTTCCACTTCACGCTGTTATTCTGTGAGGTCGTGGTACTTCCCCGAACCGACCTGCCCATTCATGCAACAGCGAATATGCGAAGCATGGCCCTACCACAGTAATTAATTAACTTAATTAATATTTCGCACCCTGCGTAGAACAACGTGACATCTGCAAAATTGTAATTGTTCAGGACGGCCGATTCAAATTATAATTTTTTTGTATTGGTCATAACTTTCTTATACATAGCAGTTGCTATTACAATTTTTGGGGTTTGTAATATGATTAGGCATATAAACAAACAATATACTTTTTGTATAAATAATTATATAAATTTAGGAAATAAGAGGTTTCAAGTGTAATAGTGACGTTTTCCTACAGAAAATGGCAAACACTAATGGGTCACAAGATCACATATACACGTTTATATAACGTTGTTCTACTAAAAACTCAGAAATGATGTATGACATAAACGCATGTAGCACTGTTTTTAACGAAATATCCATAAAAAAGTGGATGACTGTGCAATAATTATCAATTGACTCTAATAAAGTATATTATACTCGTCTATTACATTAGTAAGGTTAGTCTATTCAGTACAAAAAAACAGTGTCCAAACGTATATACGTCCTTGTACTGCGGAGCACAAATCAGATAGAACTTTGTTCTATTCGGAATCTCAATATCTATAAGTCAGAAGAAAAAAATTAAAATATTATCTGAAAGCGTAGACAATAATTAAGACTATCCGACGATAAAATCAGATTTGTTCTATGTGACCACAGAACGATATTCTACGCACGGTGCGATTTGCCGTAAATGCTTAAAAATCATTTCAGCAAATTTGTTGTAGTATGACGCATTAGATTTCCTTCACAACATTTACACTGCTGTTTGTAAGATATTTAAGATACGAGTTCAGCGTTATTAACACGGTTTATTAGCCTTCATACAGTCTTTCTTCGGCCCACGCATAGGCGTACATTAATATCGCAATAGCACGATTTAGTGTCTATGATGAATTCGTAATTCTTGTGCAAGAACCACGCCAAAAATTCATCATGTTCTACATGATTTCATTTACCCATTGTAGTGTATTTGGTCGCATTTAACTTTAAAATTACTTAAAATACCAGGTTTTACAGGTGACCTATGATATAATCTGAGATATGTGGGATATAATAATCTGTTTGATTATTTTTTAAAGATCCTTACCACGGTCTAGGAACCTTATTTCACAATCATTCCCAATCTGAAGAATTTAGTAAAGCTTTAAGTTCAATATCGATAATACATTAATCTCTTATTTTTATTGTAATTTCGAATGTTTTTAAAATTAAACTCTTATGATATGCCATTCAATTAAGTATTCGAATGAAATTTTAAGGCAACAGTGAATAAAAACGGATAATGAACTTCTCAACCTTAAATTGCCAAAAATGCTGGCATGTAATACAATAATTTTTGATAGTTCTCATTGAATACGAATTTTTTACGCACAATGCTTTCATAAATTTACATTGATTTAATGATTAACCACGGCGACCTTTTAACGGTTTTATTCACGTCTTTAATATCAAAAAAATCTTTAAGATTGAATACTTTGTTTGTGTCTACGTATTTTTTAGATTTTTTTATAAAATTTACCAAACGTAGAATTTCAAATCCAGTTTTTCAGTCAAATAAAGAAAAATATTATTATCGGTTATTTCTTCTGGGTTGATCTAAATGTGTTAGTAATAAAATTTTGATGCTTTCTAAAAATTTTACGTAACATGTCATACATCGAACAGAACCTTTAATATGTTTTATTAATTTTAATTTATAAATATTTTACATTTCTACTGTTAATATTATTTGATACGTAATAATAATTACTTAAAAAAAAACTTTTAAGTTAAACGGTTTTATTTTATGTTTTTTTTTTTTGTAAAATTTTTTTTGTAAAATTTTTTTTGTTAATAATGTATTGTCATCTAAATTAAATGTGTGTATCAAATTTCAGATCAATCTGACAACGGCAAGGTGCTTAAATTTCAATTTCTAATTTTGACCCAAATAAATAAACAAACAAATTCCGTACGGGTCGAGCTAAATAAAACCGTTTAATAACTCTCGTTCGTTTTAATCAACGCAATGTAGGTGAAGGAATAATGTTAACTGCATTTTTAAGGAAGAAGCTTTCCAACCCAATGTTGTTGGAAGCCGCTAAACTACTTTTATTTATTTATTTTATTATATACTTTATTGTACACCACAAAGAATTTGAAACAATTAGTATGAAATAAGTCTTAAAAGCTAGGTACAATAAGGCGGTCTTATCGCTAAAAAGCGATCTCTTCCAGACAACCTTAGGACGAGGAAAAATAAACTAATGAATAGTGGGAGGTGGTGTGCTCAATAAACTTACTTAATACCAAAATAGACTTAAATATAATAAGATAAACAAAATTATAATAAACATACATAAACATAAATAAATATATAATATATATAAATGAATACACGAGAAAAGAATTAAATCTGAATATTGCCATTAAAAACTACAAACTACTATGGATTACAAAGCGATAGATAATGTTGTTTTACGTCAATTTTAAACTTGTCTAGCGTCTTCGAACGACGAATTTGCTGAGGAAGTTCATTCCACAAGCAGATGGCCTTAACTGTAAAGGAGTTCTTATAATATTTAGTTTTGTACGCATGTGGTGCTAGAATTAAATCTTCAGCTGATCGCAGAACTGGTTCTGGATGGTTATGGCCAAGAAATTTAAAGTGTTCCTTTAAATAGCTTGGAGTCCTAGGGTTAAATAATACACAGTACAGAAGAAAGTCAGTGTGTAGATTCCGGCGAAAACGAATGGGTAACCACTTGAGCATTGAACGAAATTCGGAAACGTGAACATATTTGCGTAAACCAAATATGAACCTAATAGCTAAATTTTGAATACGTTCAAGTTTATTTAGTTGTTCTTCGGTTAAATCAAGATAGCTTGCATCCGCATAATCGAGAATGGACACGAGTAAGGATTGTGCTAGCATAATTTTAGTTGGAATGGGAAGAAAATAACGTAAACGACGGGGAGAACCCATCGCAGCAAATGTTTTTCGGCTCACTTGATTCAATTGTTCCGACCACGAGAGGGAATCGTCAAATTGGACACCAAGATTTTTCACATTGGTGCAATACGTATTGTAACGTCATTTAATTTTACCAAGGGAAGGTTATTCCAGTCAACTCTTGAAATCAAACCAACACCACCAACAATAATAGCCTGGGACTTAGTAGGGTTAACATTGAGACCATAGATTTTACTCCATTCACTGACAGCGGCCAGGTCATCATTGATGGCGGAAACAGCAGTAGGCAAGTCTTCAAGAGTTGACTGTGTGTACACTTGGAGATCGTCTGCATACATGTGATAGAGAGAAGTGATTTTTATGAGAAATTGAATTAATGAATACGGCAAATAGAAGAGGAGACAACACACCACCTTGAGGCACTCCGGCGCGCAATTCACACCAAGACGAGAATTCATCATCTATGTGAATACGCTGCCGTCGGCCACTTAAGTAACTTTGAAACCAGCCAATCACTAGTGGGGATATGTTAATAGAACGTAACACACTCAACAGAATGTCAAAATCAACGTTATTAAATGTATTACTAAAATCTAGCAACACTAGCAGAGTGAGCTGTTTATTATCCATACCCCGTCGAATTTTTTACTGTTACTAATTAATTACTAATCAATCACACATTAAACTATTAGTAAGTGAATGAAACCATTTATTTAATCTGTATTAATTAAATAGCTTTATGATCATAAGTAAATAAAAGTTTATTAGTTGATGCTTGTAGGTACTCAACGTCTGGAAACGGGTGAAATACTTACAATTCTTACATACATTTATCGTTAATGAAACAGGACTTCAACGCGTATAAATATTCAGACTGTCCGGGGCTCGTGTTCACGGTCGTGTGACATCACCTCGGTACACTGGTGAAAGGGTATACCCCCGCATTTAGTATAAAAGCTCTTTACAGCACTTGCCAATCATCATTCGAGATCCTCCAGCAATACACGTTTATACAATGGCATTCAAGGTATTGAATAAGCGCGAAAATTTAAGGATCAGAATTACACATTCTCAAATGAATGATAATGATTTTAAAGCATAATTTATATTTTCAGTTCGTAGCCTTCGCATGCATGGTGGCCGCCGCCAGCGCAGCCTTCGTCTCCCCCGTCTCCTACGCCGCCGCTCCCGTGGTCCACTCGGCTCCGTTAGTCCACGCCCCCTTGGCCAAGGTGGCCGTCGATGAGTACGACGCTCACCCCCAGTACAGCTTCGCGTACGACGTGCAGGACGGTCTCACCGGGGACTCCAAGTCGCAGCACGAGAGCCGCGACGGTGACGTCGTCCAGGGCTCCTACTCGCTGGTCGACCCCGACGGCACCAGGCGCACTGTCGACTACACCGCCGACCCGCACAACGGCTTCAACGCTGTAGTCCGCAAGGAGGCCATCGGTGTTAAGGTGGCCGCGGTGGCACCTGTCGCCAAAATCGCCGCCCCAGTCGCCAGGATTGCCTCTCCTTACCCTTACGCCGCCGCTCCAGTCGTCCATGCGGCTCCCATCGCCTCTGCTTACCCTTACTCCGCCCCTATCTACCACCACTGAACTGATGTGACCTGATGCGCTATGGATGACGAATACCTTATTTTAAGGAGAATAGTTTTGTTGTTAAGTGTTATGCGTTAGGATAGCGTTATTAAATTATTTTTTCTATCCTTACATGTTGTTTTAAATTTGATAAGCTTTTTATGTACCATATAACCATCACATGAAGTCTGAAAAGAAAAAAAAACATCTTAATCCAATCACTTAAACACTTACATATATTTGCGTCTATTATTCATTTTTGTTTTGATTTGTAAAGTATTGATCATGCCATATTTAATTAATACTCTTCTAAGAAAGAGGCCTATGTCCTCGAGCAATTATACTACAAATATCATTGTTGTTGTCTATACAATTATTTCTTGGTTATGTAATTGTGTAATTATTTCGTAAAGAACACACATAAAAGCACAGAAAATATAAGCCGTCGAGAAATGTTATTTAGTTTAGATGTTCCCACGGATGTAACGAGGATGTAGGCTAAATAAGTCGCGACGAGTGCTATAATAGTGAACGTTTTAAACCGTGACCTTCGGGAAGGTCAAATGTAACGTCTGATGTTAATTACTACCTTCTGAAGGAGCCTTCTGCATGTCATCATTTAATATAATTCCATTTGTCATAATTTCTCAATAATTAATGAAATATTTTTATTAAAATATGTAGAAAAAGTACGAAAAGATTGTCGCCGCTGTGGGAATCGAACCCACGTCTTCGGCATTCGCGGCCTGACGCTCTAGCCACTGAGCTAAACGGCTGATTGCCACACCGACGAAAATCTTAACGTATTCTTCTACATTGTTTTTCTTAGCATTTGAAGCAATGCTTGGCGCCATCTATTGTTATATCCTTTCCAGCATACAAACAAATACAACGATAATTTCGAAACGAGAGATGTCGCCATTGCTTTTTTTAGAATTGTTTATAGTGTCATAATCTTTGCACTTAAATGAATTTTTATTAAAATATGTCGAAAAAGTACGAAAAGATTGTCGCCGCTGTGGGAATCGAACCCACGTCTTCGGCATTCGCGGCCTGACGCTCTAGCCACTGAGCTAAACGGCTGATTGCCACACCGACGAAAATCTTAACGTATTCTTCTACATTGTTTTCTTAGCATTTGAAGCAATGCTTGGCGCCATCTATTGTTATATCCTTTCCAGCATACAAACAATTTCGGATATCGTTTTACAACGATAATTCGAACGAGAGATGTCGCCATTGCTTTTTTTAGAAATTTAAATTGTTTATAGTGCTAATCTTTGCACTTAAGATTGAACATTAAAATATGTAGAAAAAGTACGAAAAGATTGTCGCCGCTGTGGGAATCGAACCCACGTCTTCGGCATTCGCGGCCTGACGCTCTAGCCACTGAGCTAAACGGCTGATTGCCACACCGACGAAAATCTTAACGTATTCTTCTACATTGTTTTTCTTAGCATTTGAAGCAATGCTTGGCGCCATCTATTGTTATATCCTTTCCAGCATACAAACTGATGGCGCCAAGCATTGCTGCGCCCAAATGTATGTCCCAGGGAACAAGTAAGCGATTTAATGCGAATATAAGACAAGAAAAACTATTTCACATAAAAAGAAGTATTATTGAATTTATTGAAGTGGGCGAAAAAACTGGATAAAATATCAAACAGCTTATTCAAGAAAAAGTAGAAGCCGATAGTTTGGATGTGCAAAAATGCGATGACTTACGATAACGGATGTAATATGCGTGGGAGATATAAAGAAGCCAAAACAAAATTTATGCAATGATCCATCAGTGTTTGTACTATGTCTACCACACTCATTAAATCCTGTGGTTGTACAAGTGTGCTGTCCTGAAGTAGTTAGCCTATGTATATAATATGCAGTGAAAAATAAATCATAAGAGTACCTATAAAAACAAACTTAAAATAATATACCAGAAACTCACAACTTGAAGAATCTAGCACATAATATAAGTACATTAATATGTGGCTAAATTCATTCACCATATGTGGTGACTTTCATATACTTATGACGTTACTTCCGTCAGAAAAAATCTGAGTTACTCCCTAGTCGCGCCTAAAGAAATTTTACTTTTAAAAAAGTGGTCCCGGCTACTTTATTCACTAGACAAAACGCGAAAGTGTAAAACTTCCACTTCACACCAGTCTTCTGTGAGGTACTCTATTTCATCTGTTTGGTATTTCCCCGGATGAGCCTGCCCATTCGTGCACCGACAGAAGCTACTGCGTAGCCCTACTACAGTAATAATGACTACTAGCCAAAAAGAAAAAAATTATGTGACGACCCGAGCGTAGTGGATTATGACCCTGTCCACACCTGAAGGTGTGGGTTCAAACTCTACTACTAGAAAAATGTTTTGTGATGAACATAGTGATTTTCCAATGAAGAAGAAGAAACGTTTATTCAAGGTCTAAGCACAATTAATACATACAAAACTTAAAAACGACGCTGCAGAGCCAAGATTTATATGTCTGCAGCGAAGGATGGCCATCAGGATCGCACGAGGATATCGTACGTATTGGATGTCCTTTGAGGCGGCCACTGTCCTAGTTCGGTTTCCTTCACTGGACATTCTGGTAGTGGTGGATGCTCGAGTCTATACTCGCCTCCGTTTCTCGAGCGACTGGAAGAGCCACGGAACCTGCAACAGCGACTTTTCAGCGCGCTCCAGCTGAGTTTCGAAGCCTGGTTCCACTGAATGCGCGTGCGCTTTCCCCGTCGCACTCGACGGGGAATGCGCACGTATCGTTTCGGCTCACGCAGATACTCACCGGTCATGGATGCTTTGGTGAGTACATTAATAGAATTGGACATGAACCAACGACGCAATGCCACCATTGTGAAGGGGAACGGGACTCCGTGCAACGTACGCTCGCTGAGTGACCTTCATGGGAGTCCGAGCGACGGATCCTGGTTCACAACATAGGAGAGGATCTTTCTCCTCCATCAACAGTAGAAGCTGCGCTGGCGGAGAATTCTGCTTGCCGGGCACTGGGTCTCATCTCTGGTGTTATGCTCCAGAAAGAGACCGCCGAGCGGGAAAGAGAGAGGGCCGACCCCACTCGGAGACAACGGCGCCAGGCCGTCAGAAACGGACGTGCTGCCCCGTCATCCCCGTCAGCCCGTAGCCCCGGGCTCATCAGAATAGGACTAAGGTATATCCTGCTAATAAAAGGAGATACGGATTGCCAGCAGCACAAATTGGTCTCGAGCTGCCGCAAGATGGCGAGGAAATCGGCGAAAGTTTATCCTTCTGTTAATGTTGTGTAAAAATGTGTCCTAAAAATATTTATTTAATTATGCCCCTGTTAGTAAGTAGACTTTGCATCAGTTGTCTACAGAGGTCGCGGAATTGCATCGGAATGGATGGAGTCATCGTCCTCGTTTATCAGCTTCGTCATTCTTTACTGAGTCGTGGGTCATCTACCCATGGACTTCTTCACACGAAGCTTTCAATGCAGTAGGTAAAAGCGTTCTACATTTAACAAAAAATATTTTAATAATGTATTATCTATACGTGAAACGCATATTTAAATTTTTACATTCTGTTTATCATCAACCTATTTCAGATTTGTTTGTAAAATGTCATCTGGACGTTTGTATACAAATGCGTACACACTTCGCTTTTGAAATACCATATCATTTAATGTTATAACTGATACTATTATTATAAAGTGTTTATAATCATTATTTTACGAAAGAATATTTTATCGCTAAACTGAAAGTACTATAATATAAATATACGAAGATAAATTTCATTCAATATTATCGTTTAAATCGTAGCATTTTTTTAAAACAACGTGTTTGTTGTTATTTTTCTATTTTCATAAATTATGTCACCCGTTACGGATTCAAGATCTTTGGAAAAATCATAAATACATCGTTTAAATCAATTACTAAAAAGGAATGGTATCAACGAGAGGTTTACGTTATAAATTTAGCGAAGGGGAGCGCGTCCTTTGCTATGAACCAGACCCTACTAAAGCCAAAGTATTATACGATTCTAAGGTATTTATATACGAATGATTATATATCATAATGCCATCATTTACAATAGAATTTATCTGTTACATCATTTTGTAAAAATGTTTTCTATTTACAGTTTTTCAATTTTTTTTATTTATGTGTAGATTCATAAGAATTATCTCTTTAGTGAGTTGTAGCTAAATATGTTGAATTTTTTCGAAAACTATAAGCGAACGGAGAATTCTGCTTGTTGTTATTTGTGATTTATCTCTATGAAATAAGTTTTTTTTGTTAGTTTGAAAAACACCCAATGCTAATGAAAATTTTACCTAAATGTGTCATATCATGTTTTACTTTAAAACAAATATAGTAAAAAATTGTTAGAATGTAAAGGCCCTCTATACAGCTTGTTGTTACAACCACTATAATGAAAAACAATAAATGAACATACGTCTAATGCTACTTGCCAATAATTATAAAAAAATACAAAATTAAAAAAATCCATAGTTAAAAAAAAAAGAAACAAAATTTGTAACATCCTATACAGCTACAACTGACTGATTTATACATTCAGAGGCTTTTTCATTCGTTGCCACAGCGTCGAGTTACAAGTCTCTCCTTCTAGCAGTATGTTTTTTCTCTTTTAAATTCATTCAACCCATTTATATGCTTTGTGACATTTAAATGAAATTTATGTCACCATTTTATAGATAAGGGTATTCTAAAATTGTTTGTTCTGGAAAATTTAAGAACTCGGTAAATATGTTTAAAGAATGTAAATGTTTAATACAATTTTAAAAAGTTATCCTCTATATGTGTGTTCATTTACTGTTGCGGTTGTAACGACACACTGTATAATTCTTAAATAAAAAATGTTAATTTTATTCAAAAAGGAGTGAAAGAATAGTAGAATATGTTACATATTTTAGATTTTTTTCATAAGAAATATTGTAAATATAAAAAATAAACATAATAATTTTTGTAATTTTCATTTTAGGATGGTACAATCTGCACATTAATTTTAGGACATTTAATATGTATAAGAAATTTTTTACTGCAGTTTCTTTTATGTTTATTTTTGTCCTTACTTTTCATTGTAGGTGTTAGAAGTAATAGAGAGTAAAGACAAAAGAGGACGGAGGACTGTAGAGTATCTGATTCATTTTCAAGGTTGGAATTCTTCCTGGGACCGCTGTGTCAGTGAAGACTTTGTACTTAAAGATACTGAAGAGAATAGACAATTACAAAGGGATTTAGCTGAGAAGTCACAACTGCAACTGTAATTGATATTTTTGTATATTGTCAAAGTGACACTTTGTACCACATCCTACTAAATATTTGTTATGTTACTTTATTCAAGCTATTTTCCTTCTTTTCTGATGGCAATATTACTTTGCGCAATTTTATGTAAAGGTACACAATTCTATAATCTATATTATATTATATAAGTTTATAAACATAATATTTTATTATAAAATTGCAAAGTATTTATTTATAACAAAGAAACAGTCTCAAATAAATAATGCTGACAACTACAACCTATAAATAAGAAGTTAATTTGGTGCTTCGATATATTATAAATTTGGGACTTATATTAACCACTTTTTTTTATTATGCACTTTGATTACTGTATCACTTGAAGGTTTTTTTGCGTATTTTTAAATATTTTTCAGGCTCATTGGCTTATTAAAACTACCCAACTTTATCATCACAACTTTAGCACTAAAAAGCATTAATATCACACCATTGCGTCTACTGTAGGCATGTACTGGGCTGTGGTAACTGTGGTAGGGCCACACAATAGTCTTTACTGTTACATGAATGGGCAGGTCCATCCAGGTATGTACCACAACCTCACAGACAACAGGCACGAAGTGAAAGTGGTTTACTTCTGTGTTTCGTCTGGTGAGTGAGGTAGCTAGGGCCCACTTTATTAAAAGATAGCTATACATCTGCAAACTTAAAACGATAGTGAGCAAAACTTATCATGGTTCAGCTCAAATGATCCTCCATCCGTCAAAGATTTTGCATGTTTGTAGAATGCATGTGACTAGATTCTCTCTAGATTGCAAGCCATAGATCCCAGTGCCTTGATCATCACTAATTTTAGTTCCATGTCTAATTCACGCCCGCCTCCATGCAGGGGTGCATATCTGTATCGAAGGGAGCGTAAAAAGGGCAGCAACACGAACGCCAACTCGGGATCCTCGAAGCGAGCTCGTCATGGCTTCAGTGACGACGGTTCTTCGAGCAGCACACAGCCTGACGGTAATTATATATTTGATGTAGAATATATAAAAAAAACATATATGATTCGATTTTTATCAGTAGTTCACCTTACCCAATTTATCTATAATGACTTTTAAGGTACAGGAAAAGTCTCAGGTAGTACTCAATCAATCAAATATCTTTATTCAAATAGACGCTTGCGCGTTCTTATGAATCGTCAAATGTTACGGAAAAAATTAGATATATAGGCACCAGTTCCGAAAGCAGTTTCTGTTAAGAAGAGACCGGCAAGAACAGTTGCTCGACTAAGCTCAAACTGGTACTTGCACTGGCTATTAAAATATCGTAGAGCGTCAGCAATAGGGCATTTTTGCTACGATTTCCATTTCCATACCACGCCTGTCGAATTTGTGTTTGTTCAAGCATTTCGTTGTACTTCGTAGAAGGCGAGACCGGAGATACGGACTCGTCGTCCGGATCGGGATCTGGTTCGAGCTCGCAGCCCCACTCGCCGCTGCCCAACGCGCACGCTGGTCGCGCACACATCGCCCTGCCCGCCGCGCTCAGGTGACAGAAACTACCCAAGCCAATAATGGCTACTACAAGTTATCCACGTGAGACTTTCACGCCGTGTTTCTGAAACAATGAACATCATAGAAGTGAACTATTCAGCTGTCAAATGGCATTTCAAATATTATTTGAGTCGCCAAAAGGATTGTTAAACTCAATGAATTGATCAGAATCAATTCAAAGAGTTTAACAATTCTTAAACATAAAAACTAAGTACCCTTTGTTCATTTGATATTTAGTAGCTGTTGTCACTTAACTCGTATGAAGTAATATCGTTCAAGCTGATAAATGCAGCTTCGAATACCTGAACGAAAGGGACGCCTTTCGTGCAGGGACCGGCTGACGTTCGACTACCACCTGGTGGTGAAGCGCGGGCGGCTGTCGCGCCTGCCCGCCACGCCGTGCGCAGCTCAAATCCTCGAGTCGTTCGTGAAGTGGTTCGCGCGCGCCGGCGCCTGGCACCCGGCGCGGGCTCGCCACGAGCCGCCGCAGCGGCCCGACATGCTCGACGTGTCCTGCAGGTGCGATGCGCTAGATGTGTTGTGTTTTGCAGATACGACGCGCTAGATGTGTCTTGCAGGTACGGCGTGCTAGATGTGTCTTGCAGGCCCGGCGTGCTAGATGTATTTTGCAGGTACGGCATGCTAGATGTGTCTTGCAGGCCCGGCGTGCTAGATGTATTTTGCAGGTACGGCGTGCTAGGTGTGCCTTGAAGGTATAGTGAGATGCAACGTACTAGATGGGTTTTACAGGGACGGTGAGATGTGACGTGGTATATGTTTTGTGTACGATGAGATGCAGTGTACTGGATATGTGCTGCAGGTTCGCCATGCTAGATGTTTTAAATGTGGCTTATGAGCCACAGGCACCAGTACAGCAATATGTGTATTCTACTGTAAACATCAATACTTAAAAGCTACTGTACGAGCCAAATACATACATTTTTACAATTATATAATACAATCCGTACAAATAATGCTTTATTTCGATTCTGTTCTAGTCAGACAAAAACACAAATTTTGACGAGTTGTAATCATTCATTATTCAATCATTTTTTGTGTTATCTCTAACTGAAGTTAATAAAATAATTGTTATTTTCTCATTTTCAGGCTGAATTTAGTTCGAGAAGTCGCAGATGGACTGAGAGTGTATTTCGACTTCATCCTGCACGGTCATTTGTTGTACAAACAGGAACTGCACCAATACCACGACATCTGTGGGCAATATAATGAAGAGTGAGTAACAACGATTTCCTATAAGCCTTACCCGTTTAAGATCCTAGCCCGCCCCTTGACCATGACTACCACAACAAAAATCAAACGATGTTCGTCTATAGTCGTATTAACTTATAAAGTTGTAAATATGCTTTGTCTTTATGCTTCTTTTTCAATCGACTTCAATAAAGGACGGAGGTTCATAATTCGATTGTATTTTTTATGTTTGTTACCTCAGAACTGCGTCGTTTATGAACCGATTATAATCATTCCCGTTGCATTGAGTTCGGTTTAGCTCCCATGTGTTCTTAATTTCATCGGTGTTGAACCTTGGACTTTGGAGATAAATCGGGGAAATCCACAAAATAAAATTGAAAATGTATAGTGATATTCTTCTTCCTCGTTCCCTCAATTCTGAGGATCGTGACCACGTACAATATATCGCTAACCAGTGCGATCATGCGATTCATGGACAGCCCGATACATGTTACCGCCCACTGCCCCCTTCACAGCATCAGACCGTCTTGCAGGCGCCCTGCCCCGAGCATGTTTACCATCAATTTGGCCCAAGATAATGAGCCTTTCCAGGTTATGTCGCGACGACCGCATAATATTACCGAAGAAGCTAACGGCACATTCTTGGCATATGCGTGAGAACCGTTTAATGATGTTCAGTTCGTTGAGGATAGATTCGTTTGTTCTCATCAGTGGTGTTGTCGAGCCGGAACGCTCCGAAATGTCTTTCCGGTACTTCCTTTTTGGACAGGCACGCGTTCCGTAACTAAAGATGATTTCTGATAACGAGAATTGGCTGACGTATTGAAATTAAATAGATTTGATTGATTTTTTCTTTTAACGAATTTTAATTTTTGACGAATTTTTATATATTATTATAAACAAGGGTTTGAACCGAACCCGAACCGGAACAAAAACCGTAACTAACCGTCTTGTTAATCTGGGACATGAGACCGCACAGAGCGGCCGCCTACCCAGGATCGGCCCTGTCTATATAATTACATATACGCGTTCCGGTAAAAAAAAATTAGCACAACACCACTGGTTCTCATGGCAGTACATGGTATCCGCAGGGTTCTCCGCCACCAGCACATAGCGATATTAGAGGAGGGTTTTCTTCAGGATCAATTTGTTAATCGACTGTTGTTGCTGTTCTCTGTCGGCAGCTTCGAGTCGAAGAGCGACGCGGACGACGAGGACGAGCAGTCGCAGGACGACGGCGGGCTCGCGTCGGCCGAGGAGGACCTCAAGAGCCCCAAGATGCCGGAGTACTCGCACCTGCCGCCGGACCCGGTGCACGGCGAGAACGGCGACGGTACGCCAGGGGAACGGAACGGAACGGGCCGTGCACGCGACACGTGACCGATCGGACACGCGGGCACGTGGTTCATACTTAAGCACGCGCGGGCGCACTGACGCGTCTTTTTCAGATGTCCGCACCATAATCATAACATCGCACGCGTGTACCACCTTATGTCGCACGCACGAGCCCCTTTACATCGCACGCATGTGCCTCTTTCCATTTCACGATCAAGCGTACTTACATCACACGCATATATCTATTTACATCGCATGCACGAGCCCCTTTACATCGCACGCGTGTGCCTCTTTCCATTTCACGATCAGGTGAGCCTACTTACATCAAACGCATATGGCTATTTACGTCGCACGCACGTGTCTCTCTACATCGCACGCATGAGCCTCTTTCCATTGCACGATTGAGCGTGTCTGCTTTCATCACACGCATATATCTATTCACAACGCACGCACGTGCCTCCGCATCGGACGCATGTACCTCTTAATTCTAGTACAAGATACACGAACACACACTCAAATGCAAAAAAAACTGTCCGATTCATATACGGGCACATAAAGAATTTGAACGCGTGGAAGTATTTCATTCGCACAATTTATCAATCTGCTCAGATAAATTAAAGTAAGCCAATATATAAAGCTGGCCAAAGGCAAGAGGCTTGTACAGACCGTTTTAGGGCATAGTCCACCATGCAACCCCACTGCAAATTGACGGACATCACATACCTCCGAAATTTTTTATTTGTTATTATTTCTATATTTACGATTACGCAATTAACAATTTAATTGGTGCGGGATTTGCACTTAGGTTAGTCGATTATATTGGATTCCTAGCGAGCGCGTGGACACTAAGCTAACACGGCTGATTAGATAAATGTTGCAGTTATCATCGTGCACTTTTAACTAGGCCCAATCGAGGTTATCATGCCTACATTAACTAGTTGTGACTAGATTTACAAATAAGAGGTAGATAAGAGACTAGCGCACCGAAACAGACACTCAAATTACACCAATTGGTGCAATTAGATTGCAATTCTATAGACTGCTATCTCTTTTCATATCATAAGATATGTATCATCTGTCACATTCACTTATTGTGTCATATAATGTAAAGCGGAACTATTTCTAAACGCACGCACTCTATATTATTAAACATCATTGGTTGTGACTGTGAAAATCTCATCAATACCTTTTCGGAAGGACAAGATAGAGATACAACGATAGATGAACAACTGGATTAAATGAAACCGCCGTGAAAGTCAGTGAATTCTACTCTGCCACTTAAATTAGTGTCGTATCTATAACGTATTTCTGTCGTGAATCTACTAATATATGACTAATTTCTAATTCTACAGAAGAAGACGGCATTTCGAAGACGCGGGACTCTACAGACGGTACGAATTCAAATGACTACACAATGTCTAGTATAGGTAAGAACGATATTATAGACTTTATGTATTAAACGAGCATTTATATCAATATATCATTTGATATTTTATCTTTCGCGTATTATCGATTGCATTACCAAACAAATAACTTTATTATAATTTTCAAAATAATAATAAAATTATTTGCAAAACTGTATTGCAAAATTTTATTTTGCCATACAGTTTTGTATTTAATGATAAGATATAACACGTAGTCATATGTGTGTTATGTGTCAATTAAAACTATCATTAATAATAGCAATAAATATTTCCGGACATTTTATTACACAACGTTATCAAAGCTAAGGAAAGCTTGTACAGCTTATACAGGATCTAGTTAACTGATAATCATACGTTCCTTTCTTAAACTAATTACATATTATCTTTATCTTTTTTTAAAAACATTTTACTTACTTTAGGATAACATTATCTTGTGTTCTAAGGACGTTTTATACAAACATAAATTTCACGCAAACAAACATCCAGATGCGAAACGACTATCTGTGGGTCGCACAAATAATCTATCATGGAATCGAACCCACGATAGATTATAGATAAATAAATAAAATAGACAGACACTAGAAAAATGCTATCTATGTTCATCACACAATGTTTTCCCAGTAGTGGGGTCGAACACACTGTGAATTCTCTTCCGTTCACAGTCCAGGAGAACAGTCATGACGAGGAAACGAAGAACGATTTGATAGACAAGTCGCTGAAAAGCGACTCGCCGAGCGAGGACATGCCCATTCAACGTGGCGGCAGCAAATCGCGCGAGTGCCGTCCCGCCACGCGGAGCGGCAACGTCGCCAGAAGGTACACACCGGGCGAAACTCAAATGCACAATCGGGTGCGAAAGTCATTCTGCGAATCCGTTTTTTGAAAACTTTTAGCAAAAAAACCGACTTCAAACTAGTCTCCGGACTAAAAAACATTGTTATAATATATAACAGTTGAGGATTGCCCGCGATGTCTCTGGGATGCCATCACCAGACCCGGGTTTCCTTATCATGGTACCACCTTTGGGGTATCTCTTTTCCAACAAAAAAGAATCATCAAAATCGGTTCATAAACGACGAAGATATCCGCGAACACGCATAAAATAAATATAAAAATACAGCGTGTCGTTACCATCGCGACAATAAATGAACACACGTCTAACGCTACTTGCCAATAATCATAAAAAAATATTAACGTTAAACAAAATAGATAATTAAAAAAATATATTTTTCAAACAAACTAATTAAGTAAAAAAGAAACAAAATTTGTAACATCCTATACAACTCGCGCCACAGCGTCGTATTACAAGCCTCTCCTTCTAACAGTAAGTTAGTAGAAGGAGAGGCTCTTTTAAATTCATTCAACCCATTCATATGCTTTGTGACCTTTACAAATGAACTTTACGTTACGCTTTTAAAGGTAAGGGTGTTCTAAAATTCTTTGTTTTGGAAAATTTAATAACTTTGTAAATATTGATGTTTAAAGAATTTAAATGTTTAATATAAAAAGTTATCCCCTATATGTGTGTTCATTTATTGTCGCGATGGTAACGACACGCTGTATATACGGTCGAATTGAGAAATCTCCTTCTTATTTTAAGTCAACTAACTACAAATAAGTCTCGTTGCAAATCAAGCTTAAACACCCGCACACCTTCACGTTTTTAGAAAAAAATATTCGAGCTACTAGTCAATAAAATCGTTCAATATTGCTGAGTAGGTAGTGTAATTAATAAATTTAGTTATGCATAGTTTTCAGGATGATCGTCAAAACCATCAATGAGGTATTACACGGTCATTTATCGTGAGCAAATTGTGACAATTGTTTACTATGAGCAAATTGTAACGGCGTAGGCAAATTAACGCATATATAGCGCAGCGCCATTGAATTTTTTGATTACACGAGTTACCGAGAGTGTGTTTTGTTTGGTTATCCTTCTAATACCGAAAGTCGTAATTGGGGTACACAGCATACGCAAATACCATTAATTTATATACAATCCAAAACTGTTTGTGATGTCATTCCTATTTTTCTTCTTCTCTAGACTTCGTTCGCACAAATCCGTTGTGTCCCAATCGGAGAATGAGGAGCCAGCCCCTTCCACGTCCGCTGGTGAACAGCGCACTTTCGAAACCTTATCCTCCAGGTAAATATACTTCTGCTCCTATTATTTAATTTGTGTAACATTAGGTTTAACTCTTACAATGTTAATATTTAAAAGAGAAATTAATTGGGACCAAAATTCCGGCGCATTCACGGCCAAGTGCGCAACAAAACTGCCCAATATCTAAAAAAATGTGTCCAATAAAAATTAATAGTTGTTCAAGACTGTACTCTATTTAGTGGTACCAAATTGATTGACGCAGTTACTTCGGTGCCATTAGTCGCGGGTACAATTCCTTCCCCATAATTAAATGATGATGATGATTGTAATTGTAATGATGATTTAAAATGATAACACTATCATTTAATATAGGAAATATTACTATCATCATAATCATCATTTAGCCCTATTGTTATCTACTGATAAACAAAAGCCTCTCCTACATTGTTGCTCGTCGAATCATTTTCCTATTTTACAAAATAACTTTTCACACAAAATAAATGTTTACGATCGTCTTCGTTTGACCAACGCGACTTTTAAGTCCATTTGTTATTTGTCCAAGTCCCATCGGGCGATGTTGATCGACGTGCCGTTTAGACAGTCGACGTAAATTTCTAAATGTGGAAACTTTTAATTGGCCTTCTGTATTTGCTTTTATATACTTTAGTTATATGTAAGCTATTACTTTGCCTAAAACTGTAAAATAATGATAAGTTGCATAATCGAAACGAGCGGCGCCCCGTGCGGTAATAGTGCGGACGCGTGTACTGACTTTAGCGTGGGTAGCAGCGGTTCCTCGATGAGCGAGGGCTGGTCGCGGGCCGCCCCCTCCCCCGCGGCCGCCCCCCCGCCCACGCGCACCCCACTATCGCTGCTGCTGGACAAGGTAACTAACACGCTAACACACAAAACTTCACTAAACAACGTTCCATATGCACTCATAATAATTCACAATCATTCAATATACAGATTCACATTTATAGATCCACAGCCACACATGCACACTGAGTATTCGGATCGCGTACATTTAGCCACTCGGTCCCATACATTAACACGTACACAAATTCATGCACACGCATTAACTCTTGTGTTGTGTACCATAAACACACGTGTTGACTAACGCTTGGTTATGGTTAGACTCAGACCATCGTACAGCGTCGAAGAACCGGCTAAAGTGCTGGCGAGTAACGTCGAACGCAAAACTTACCGGATGTTGATCCTGAAAACAGAATACTTTAACAAAACATGGAGGTCAAAAATTATTACCAACTGCGCCGTTTCGAAGGGTACACTCACCTAAATAAATGTTTGCCTGTAGTGTCTTGGATTGTATGTGAATGCTGTATATCTTCGATTTATTAGATTAGATATTAGATTTATACATATTTTAATTATTTTCCTAATATTTCAATTTATGTAGGTTAGAAAACAAAGAGGCAGTAAATAAATTTAATACGGGGATACAAGAGAGACAGATGCCCCTCAAGATTTTTTTACACTTAGGCTAAAGTGACACACACTCGCTGTCCTCTTTTTCCTTATTCTTAACATATCTATAGTATACATTATCATTGACATGTGTACAAATCTGCATTCCTATAAATGATGGTTTACTTTGCATTATTACCTCAAGATAATATAAAATCTCTATCAACACATCAACTTCAGGAATAAAGCGGGACTGAAACAAATTTGTTTATGAGTACATATTAAATCACACTGCTTTTGATAATCAAAAAAGATTCAATATTCATTACAATATATTTTTTATGTATGTCAATACTGTTTCAAATTATTATTTTGTGATCAGGTCTCTAAGTGGCAAATCATCCCCCGGGAAGGCACCGAGCATCTACCAAGTAGAGTATACGGTGCCATACATCTTGCGCGGCTGTTCGGTACATATTGGTGTAGCTTATCTTGAGCTTACTGTAACTAGACATAGCAATTCATATATTTAATTTATTCACAGTGAAGCTACCGGACTTTTTAAACGCAACGCAGATGCCCGATTTCAAACTGAAATTGCTCTTAAAACACATCGACATGTTTATTCAGTAAGTACTCAAGTTATAAACACTAATGGAAAAAAGATATATTTTTTTAATACTAATTTTCTAAAAATCATCTAATTTCGATTTCATTTTATTCCTGTTCAGAAAAATTTACCGTCATCACGATAGTAACATCTAGTCCATTGAGGCTAATAATCATTTTATAATTTTTAATTTCTTGCTAATTTTGACTTCTGGATGTCAAATAAATTACGTTAACCAATAATCCATCAGTCCTCGAATATACACGTTAAATGATGTTTTTTTTTAATAATAATGTCATCCGATCAATAGTAAATCAATTCAACTTGACTCAAGAGATCGAATTAAGGTCGAACTCAAACACGTCAATTACCACTTACAAGCATTATATCTGTCAAGAGAAACTTAATACTCGTTCAAAATAAACAAAAACATCATCTTCTTAGATACTAGATAGAGAGAGGGTAGAGTGAACGCAACAAATTCTTACACGACCCACTGTCGACGATCGCACTGTCATAGATAAAAAAGTACATTGACCTATCGTATGATAAAATTGGAGAGTCTTAATAGAACGGTGAACCGTTACAGGTATTTGGACGAGCACAGCGAATGGTTCGGCGAGATGTTCTACATTGCGGACGGCGTGTCGCGGTCCCACTGACGGCACCGGCGGCGGCGGTTCATCGGATAGCCCCAACCCCGAACCGACGTTGCGAAACTCAAGCCCAAAAACCGGCTCCCCACCGGAGCGTGCAAACGAATATCGCGTAACCCGCGGCACAGTTACTGTAATGCAGTTGAAATACAGGAGTCTGAAACGATAACACTTTGTGTTACGATTCATTAAATACCCGTACCCGCATCTACTTACAAACACACACACACACACACGCATGCGCGCGCACGCACGCACGCACGCACAAACGAACGCGCTATAGACGAGTACGCGTCTGGTGACTCGCCTCTTTGGATATTTCAAGGCCTGTGTCGAAATCATCGCATGGTACCGCTTCTTCTAAGTCTTTTCTTTTAATCATCCACCACTAGTACAACGCCCAGTTACATTAAGCTTCGAGCGGAGCGGGCTCTAAAACAATTGAAATTTTAAAGATCCGTGTGGAAAGGAATGCCTAAAATTGGTTTTACTCCGACGCAACCTAAATATTATTAATATTAATGCTAATTAACATAAAATAATAAAGTCCATAGTTATTGTTTCCAAAATAATTACCGAATTAATTTAAAAGAAATATTTTCTATTAATAAAAGAAAAAAGTAGTGAAATAGCCAAATGACGTTTAATACGAATTTGCTGCAAGTCTAATTTATTGAACTATTAAAACAAGTGAAAGACTTTCTGTATCAAAACTAAATTTTCTATTTATGAAAGAAACATTATAACAGTTGAAGCATTTAGTGATAATGTACAATTTTCTTCTTATTGAGCAAAATGTGCGTTACATTAAAACTTGATAACAATTCCCTTTTTTAACAAATTAAGATTTTCTTGTTATCTAAGTAATAGGTACATATAATGATTATGAAATAAGGCACAGGATGATTCATAGACGCTTTTGCAGTTTTCAAATCTCAAGAAAATAAGTTTTTGGTGAACATCAAATACTGGCATTATTAATTTTTTTTTTGAATATTCTAGAACATAAAGCCGAAACATGTTGGTATCAGCATTAAATTAAATTAAATATTACAAATATTTGAGATAATCAATCACAAAATAATCACAATAAAAAAAAATCCAAATCATTTATATTTTGCAAGTATTTTTATCAATTTTTAACAGGTATTACATAAAAACAGCAAGAAAGAAAAAAGTTAATTATAAATAATTTGCTGAGTTTTCTTTCTCTCTTCAGTTTAAACAATAACTTTGGAAAATTTTAATACAGTCTCGGACCGAACGCAAAAATTTGTGCGGACATAACACTTGTTTTAATCCTGCTCCATTCTGTGGATGACGCGCCGGTATTCTTCCTCCAATGATAAGTACTGGCTGGCCAGGCGACCCTGAGTCTCATTGGCACCAGTTGAGCTTATTGTTGCTGCATACTCTTCAGGCTTCAACACTTTCTGCAACTTTTTCATTTCCAGTTTCTTTTTCTATAAAAGTATAAATGTTTTTGTTAACATAAAAAAAATATTAAAATAAACCGACATTTAAAGGAATCTGAGGTGCGCCGGATACATATCCAACCGAATATGAATAGGTTTATAATGGTTGGTGAGGTTCATGGACGAACGACAGCGGAGTCTTAGTAATAAGGTCCTGTTTTACGCTTTGGGTACGGAACCTTAAAAATCTGTAGACAAAACTGTCACAAATTTTTTCTTCTTAATATATTGCTATTATTAAAATATTCGGTAGTTATATAGAACACTAATAAAATATTTAGCAACGAAAAAATATGTTGAACACACCTAATACTATTAATATTATTATGGTGGGATATTTATTTGTTTTCTTGTCTGGTTGGGTTTATAAATAAACATATACATACAAATATTGTATATTATTATTATTTATACGATACGAAGATTCGGCGCATCTCTAATAGGAATTAAATGCTTGTTTTGGAATGAGTAATACTATAGCTTAGCTATTTATTACTAGCCGAATAAAATAGCTTTATTGGTTACCTGAAATGGAGCATTGAGTCTATTTTTAACATCCAATCTGAAATTCAAGTATGCAGTCTTGTCCGATGTATTCGTACTTTTGAGCCTTAATATTTCGTAAATGCGACGCGCTTGTTTTTTATTTATTTTGAATTTATTACACGCCTGTGTAGCCATTTCTGGTGTGAATCTGTTGACAGTATCATGTTATAAAAACAAATCATGATTCATATTTTTATCTTTGCTATAATTGCAATTATGTTCATTTTACACTGATAATGTCTTACCCTTGCAAAAGCTTAGCTGGTTGAAACGCAGGTAATGTATCGCAGTTCTTAGCATCTACATAATCCCGTATTCTCTGAAATTCTTGAGATGGATCTTCAACGGTGATATCTATAACTTCTGGTTGAGGTATAAAATGTGAATATATTGCCTAAAATGAAACAATGCATTACATATTATAATCAATATTAATTTCATCAATTTTTAATTCTAGTAGTATATAGTGCATAGCATAGTGTATAGTGCATGGATAGCAGATATCGGTATCTCTGTCTTAACTTCCAAGTGAAAGTTGTGTGTTTATGCATTCATTCTTTTATATAAAGATTTATGGTGTATTTTAAATTAAAAAAACACTATCAAATTAATACACATTTAACACTTGTATAACATAATATTTTACATTACCTTTACATACATGCTATTCTTATTAAACTAAAATATATATTATGAATATAACTCAATAGGAATGAATTACCTGTAGAAGTTCTGCACATAAACCCAGTTTTTGATAAGGTGGCAATGTTAGGACTTGTGACACCCTTGGTCTTGTGTGTCGTGGATAGGCATAGTAACGATACACTGTGGCGTATGCTGCTGTGGCATAACGCACATCGCCATTACTATTGTGGTACTTCTCAAATCTGAGGAAATTTTTTTTCATCATAATTACCACATTTGTTTCAACTAATACATGTTAAGATTGTTTTTAGAAATATCCCTTAATATTAAAAAGTTGTTCACCCTTATCAAACTTACTACATAAATTTGAATTACATATTTACACATACTTTTGAAGATGAACAAACAGTAGAAATTTTTTAAACTACCATTTTTGCTCAGAAAACAACTTACAAAGTGAAGAATGTCCACTGGTCATCATCAACATCGATAAATGATGCGGCATCAACATACCACAAGAGGAAAGTTTGCAGACGCTGATGGTATGCTAAGAAACCAGGTGTTGATGTTTCACAATAATACACTTCAAATGTGCGCTTATCTCCACCATCACCTAAATATTAAAGGTACATTAAAAAATGATTATAGATTTAACAAATGAGTTAAAAAAAGTATTAGTGAGTATTTAAATGGAAACACATTCTGGAAATTAATTGATTGCTTCAGGTTCTTACAAGTGGAATTTAATATATTGCAAACACATTTGTTATTTTTTTGTCAAATTATGTTAAAAATAATTGTCTCGCTGAGTATTAATTAACCTGTCAAATCTTAATTTAGCGGCTACTAATACTGGAAACAAATTCCCATAAAAAACAATTGTTATTGACTCTGATAAAAATTTTAACTGGAAGATATATAAATAATAAAATTCTTATTGATATAAATGTTTATTATAATAATTAACTTAATTTTTCAGTGATATGTTGTATTCAAAACAAAATGGCCCACAAGAAAATTAATAAATCCCAACAACCAACCAACATCACATTTTTTAAGCATTTTGCAAGTAAAAAAATAAACAAGGACATGTCATCAATATTTTTTCTTTTAAGTAAAATTGTTTTCAAAGGTTAATATATATGCATTTATTTTATGTCTTATTAGCATTTGGTGATTGATTTAGCTATTATCCTAATCCATCAACAAATGCTATTACAATTTCATATTGCATTACATTGGCATCAATTCATATAATGAAATTTGGATTTCAAAAACAAGTTGGCTATCTCTCTTTAAATTAAAATTATTTGTTAGTATTTGAAGTATCAAACAGATATCATGAATGGAAAGTAAGATTTAAATTAAAAAACAAACTTACGGGTGTTAATAGGAAATGAATGTAAGAGACAACCATGTGGTTTAAAATGCTGGTCCTTCTCCAACATTGAAATGAAATTATCTAAATTAGTCACATAGCCAGGGGCTAAAACATTCCTAAGGGCCCCTTCTACATCATCTGCTTTCATTCCTCCCGACTTACTGGGCTCAATCTAAAAATTAAAAATTAATGACTACTATATTTCAGAATTCATAAACATCTGAGATATAAAATGATATCATTTTCATGAGCTTTAGTTTTTGCATATGTATTTCATTTCTGAGATATTCTATTTATAGGTTGAATGCATGAAGTACCGTCTGGATCTAGTACTATTTTATCAACAAAAAAACTAAGAATATCGCTCACAATAATCATCAGTACGCAATATCTAGGAATTACCTTATCTGTATATTCTATCCCAAGATATGTCTGAAGACTGCCTGCACTATAAAAAAGCTTAATGTGTAAGTTCGTGTATCCGAAAATATTCTCATTTTCTCCAAAAACTTGATGACACATTTCTGGACCAAAACTAGCTTCATCATTTTCAATGTCTTCAACTGAACGAACTAAAATATAATTATTAAAAGATAAAGAAAACTGTCATAAATTGAATAGAGTAAGACAAATTACTATAACATACCCAGTTTTAATTCCAAAACTTCATTTCCATCAACGACTAAATGATGTAGTGTATCAGTCATTCTGAACAAGTTAAGTTATTGCAAAACCAATCAAGATACGAAATATAATAATAAAGTTTTCATTACAATTCCCGCGCAAAATAAAACATTTGACAATTTATTTTTCAGGTGAAATAAGAATTAAACAATTTTCATATATCGATAGCTAGATCGTAATGGCTGATGAAATCACTAAAAGTTTAGATAAGAAATTTAGATCTTAGAATTTAATAATTACGAAAATAAAACGGTTAAAGCATTTCAATTAAAAAACAAAATGGTCCAATTCGATTCGTTTGTAAATGTCAAATTCACTCACAGTTCAGTCAGTTTAGCACAAAGAGACAAGAGTCTTAAGTCTATGGTATTAAAATGTCAACATATGCAACTTTTTTTCGCGTCGAAACAATTGGCCTGTTATGATTTGGTAAATTAATGTTTAATGTTACTATTAACTATTTTGCGATATTAGATCTAAATTGTTTTTTAATCGATTTTTTTTACGATACAAACATAATCGCAGTTTTAAGCATATAGCTTACGCTTCCAATCGGTGAATTATTACATTAATTAACCTAAAACTACAGCCTAACTTCATTAATTACGTATATTAAAGGCATATTTCCGAACTTTTATGTACATATTAGATATATTAATCTACATTCAAAATTTGAAACACACACAAATTGAACTTTCAAAATTTGGCAACACTAAAGTCATTATGTGACGTCATTATGGCCTGGTTGGGTTAGGTTTGCTTGGAAATTTTTGTTAATAATCTTGTATTTTAGTATATTATATGTTGTGCTACTTATTTTAGATTAGTAATATAAATACCTCAAATAGCAGCAGTAACTCTGGTGCCAAGAAGTATTTGTCTCGGCGACGTTTTGTGGCGAAAATGAATCGCCATGAAGGTGGGTAATGATAATCAGAATTTGTGCTATGCTTTTGTCATGGAATTTCTTTGCAAAAAAATTATGCAGTGTACTGTGTTTATTTTCAACTCATATGTTGCTTTTATTGGTTATGAATAATAGCAAAATAATTTTTATCTTGTATTTACGTCTTTTCAGGAGTCAGCTGTGATTCATGTTTGAAAAATAACTTCAGGGGACGACGATACAAATGTTTGATTTGCATCGACTACGATTTGTGCGCTACTTGCTATGAATCTGGCGCAGTCACGAATCAACATACAACAGAACATCCTATGCAATGTATTCTTACAAGAAGTGATTTTGGTGAGAATATTTGTGTAATAATTTCTGTCATCAGGCACATGACCTAGTTTCTAACTGTTCTTTTCATAAACCGTTTGGCAAAAGTTTTTAATCAACAAAGGATTTGATTATTTTTAACATACTGCTTTTTCAACTATTCATATGGTAAAATAGTTAAGTTGAAATGTGTTTTACATTTGTAAGTAGTTAATTTGAGACTTGAGTCTCTCATTCCTTTTTCTACTTTGCAAGTGGTGTCTGAAGCATAAGCTATTTTTTTCTACCATGTTGTTGCATTACTTTGAAGTATATTGTTTTAACTACTTGCATTTGTTATTTAAAGTATGTCCTATTTTAAAATAAAATTTATGAATTAGGTTAGTAAATAGAATAAATTAATTCAAAGTATATTTTTATATTGCAGACCTATACTATGCTGGAGAGACACAGGCTCTGGAACAGCCTCAGGCATATACATGCCCCTTTTGCAACCGTATGGGTTTCACAGACACAACACTTATGGAACATGTGACTGCAGAACATGCAGATACAACCCTTGCTGTAAGTTATAGTTCACTATCTCTACCACACTACGTCCACATATTTAGTGAATACAAAATATGTGTTCAGATTGCTTTTAAATAAGCTTGATTGAACCTTTTATTCTCATACATGGAGTAACACCATTTTATTGTCAAATTAAAAGTAACTATATTACTGTAGTACGTCTGTAGCTTAGTAGTATATATATTATATAAAATTAATTTATGATATTAACATGTACTATTATTAACTTACAATATTTACAAGATCAAAATGTTTCTTATATCTATAGTTAATAACATATAATAAATTACTTATACAGCGTGTCGTTACCAACGTGACAATAAATGAACACACATATAGAGGATACATTTTTAAAATTGTATTAAACATTTACATTCTTCAAACATCAATAATTAAAGAGTTATAAAATTTTCCAAAACAAACAATTTTAGAACACCCTTACCTTTAAAAGCGTAACGTAAAGTTCATTTGTAAAGGTCACAAAGCATATGAATGGGTTTAATGAATTTAAAAGAGACAAAACATGCTGTTAGAAGGAGAGGCTTGTAATGCGAAGCTGTGGCGCGAGTTGTATAGGATGTTACAAATTTTGTTTCTTTTTTACTTAATTAGTTTGTTTGAAAAATATATTTTTTTAATTATGGATTTTGTTTAACGTTAATATTTTTTTATGATTATTCGCAAGTAGTTTTAGACGTGTGTTCATTTATTGTCGCGATGGTAACGACACGCTGTATAATAAATGACTTCTTGAAAATATATGTAAGTGCACTAAATGCACTATTCTTTAAAAAGACTCATAGAAGTGACTATTGTTTATTCTACTATGAAAATGGAAGTTTTATATCTACTTTGCAGGTGGTATGCCCAGTCTGTGCCTCATTATCGGGTGGAGAACCAAATTTTGTGACTGATGACTTTGCTGGCCATCTTACCCTCGAACATCGAACTGGACCAAGAGATCTCATCTCTTTTCTGATATCCTTTTTTAATTTTTGTTTCAATCATTACAACTTTTCACTATTGATATCATTAGAACAGCTTGAATTTTTCAATAAAGTGATAATAATATTTTAAAGTATCTAATATGAAAGTTACACAATCAAAAGTGTTCAAATTTTTATCACGCTGAGTCTATGGTACTGACAGACTGACTACAATAGATCTTCTAGGTTGCAGCGGTTGTGGGGACTTTATTCCCAACCACTTCCACACAAATAATAATCATATCCATTTGGTGTGGTTGCTAAGCAATTGTGTTTGGTGCCACTGATCATGGTTTCAATTATAAATATTCTTAATCTCACTAACTTCTGAAACTATGTGAATCAATTTATAGTTGGGAATATACAGAAATACATATCATAGTTAAAAAATGAATCTCTAATAGGTCTTGATAAATCCTGAGACTAGCATTGAAAATATAGTTGCATAAGTTCAATTACAGATTTAACATACTGAAGCCATACATTTACCAGCTTTTCACCTCACTAGAAAATAAAACCATACAAAGTCATTGTTTTGAATGGTAATAACTGTGTATTTAATTCTTATTTGAAACTCATTGAAATGAGCTAATTGGAAAAAAAAAATTATGCAATGTTAATGCCATAACTCCATTGCACGATGAACCCAGCGGTATCAGGCATGGTGGTGTCCGTCGCATGCCTCCTTCAGGTCGCGGGGTCAGCCGCGCCCGTCGCACCAATATGCAATTCAGGTAACACTCAAAGTTAATTATAGAACCATAAAGCATTGGGTACCATCACAAACTGGCTAGGTTTTCATTATGAGCCTAATCTCCCTCACTCACCATAGTTTGTATAGTATAGTTGTATAATGAATGGATATTCATTATACATTTACTTTTTGGGTTGTTTAATTAATGGATACAAACATTTATTCATTACTATATTATATACATGTTGGTTAAACTGCGTAGCATCCATTACATAATTACAGTGTTGAGATTAAAGTCTGTGATAAATTTTCATAATTCTTAGTACCTTCTAGGCCCAAGTTTTGCAAGGTGGATATTTTATTTGAACCACAATTGAATAATCCATATAAACTGTGATCAGTGGCATTTTTATCCGAAACTAATTTTCATGGGGATTCATGGCTAGGAAGTTAGCATTGAAATCCTTGATTTAAGATTTCTCTGTTCTATAATTCAAGGAAACTGAAACAGATTCAGGTAGTAACGTGAACTGATTTTGTTTCCAGCACAAGCGGTGGCATATCCTCTCTCTCGCCATCGTCGCGCGACGCGGTCGTCGACCCGATAGCGGAGCTCCTGTCACAGCTGTCTGGAGTGAGGCGTGGCGCCGGCCAGCCCGGGACGCCCAGCCAGCTGCAACAGTTGCAGATGCAACTGCAGCTTGAACGGCAGCAGGCTACGGTGCGTTACATGTGTGGACTTGTGGAGTTTATTGCAGTGACATTAAATGGTGAATGTGCTTTTAAGTGCTCTTCATTACATTACTTATCTGCTGGTGGTATGGTCATCAAGCCCTAAGTAAAATAGAGTAGTATTTTATGAATCTTTGTTAAATGTGGTGACTAGGTGGCTATCTTAGTAGTGTCATATTTAAACTACACTCCCCACACAAGGCCCCTCATGTATCTTGGCATAGTTGGTTTGTTCCTTTCAGTTTTTTTATTATGAAGCTGTAACATTTTGTTTTTTTTAATAGACATGTGCTACCCCAGGTGGCAGGTATTTGTATTTTATGTGGAATGGATTGTGTCTGTATGTCAGTATGGAAGGGTCTGCTAACAGCATTGACACAGCATCATATGGCTGGACCAGGTGTCCCTGGCGGAAAGGAAGATTGCAATTTCGTGTTGCCGTGTCCACCGCAGTTGCGACAGTGAAGGTGCTACGTGGATTGAACATTGTTACACCTGCCCTGGTTGATAGGGATTCAAGGTTTTAGATAGTTCACAGCACTATTGAATAACTGCTTAGTCAAATTCTTATATATTATATGCTTCACGGTATCTATAATCTCTCAAGACAGGTTGCTTTGCTACGAGTTTAATTTCTTATTCTTAAAGAAATTAATAAAAACAATGTCGCGAATTTAGTTAAGTAAGAACTAGAAATTGGCAACAACCTCCACTAACATGGTACATCATGTTTTTGTCATTTTGTCAACTATGCTGTAAATAACTACAACTAGAGATTTCAGAATTTCACAGAATCACTTCAGATTTGCACAGAAATTTCAGACAGTATGAAGTAAAAAAAACTTACCAATCTCTCAAAGTATTTGATGATAACATAAAAGGCCACTCAAATAGTATCCAAAGTGGTCTTTAAAAGAATGTGGAAATTTTTTTTCTTTAACTCAAAATAATTATAAATATTCTATAACTTGGGGGTTTCAGTGTTTTGAGGCATGTTTATACATGACGACAGAGTATGAAAAGCTTATTTTTATGTATGGAGGGCCCATGCATACCCATCAGCTATAAAAAGGTACCTTTATTTTGCACACAATTTTCCGTCATTTTTATACATGCCTTTCACTTTAATAATTTTCTTAAAAACCGCCATCATTTGAAAAGACTATCAATAGATTTGAACGTGATTTCAGGCGGCTCGTCAGCAGCTGGAACGGCTACCGCGCAGGGCTGCCGCTTCTTCGAGCGGCGCGGCCGCTCCTCCGCCCGCACCGCAGCCCGCGGCGCCACAGCCGCAACCCGACACCCCTGACTCCAACTTCCTGCTCTCCGGCTTCCTAGGTATTATACAAATACTCTAGCCATAGTAATTGTCAGAATTTCGCTCAGACTGTTCTGCATCAAATAGACAAAGCGGAATATAATTTCAGGAACATTAATTTCTATAGATGGTTCTTATTAGTTACTTCTGCTGTCAAAAGAAAGATTTAAAAATTCTCTTTGCAATAGCTCATACCTGTGCAAATGATGCATCAAAACATTATCTTTAAAAATTCTTCGAGGGAGAATGTGTACCGCACTATTTTCACTCTGCCCGACGAAACGCTAACATTCAGCGTGAACTCTAGTACTGCAACAGTGCTTGCCTTGGGGGAAGTCCAACAACCTATATAAATGTCCATGAGTGGCGATAATCTGTTTCCATTAAGTGAAGCACTGTTGGCTGCTTTGTATAGAGGTAATGTATAATAGTGGCTCCATATCCAATCGCAGGCGCAACGAGTTCTGCAAGCAGCGAAGAGGCGGAGTCCCGGGCGGCGTTGCTCCGTGGACTGATGCTCGCTTCGCTGGGGCGCGCTCCCCCGGCCCCCCCTCCCGCGCTGCCCCCGCAGCCTGCACCCCCCTCGCGGCCCTCGCAGCCACCGCAACCGATCGCACCTCCCGCAGCTCAGCCGCCGCAGCCGGCCCAACCATTGCCGCGCACGAAGCCGCAACCCCGCACCAAAGTATGATATGAATAGCCGTTTCTAAATTAAAACTGTATTCATATAAGTTGGACAGTTTAATAGTAATAGTGTAGAGGCGATATTAATTTTACTGCAAAGTAATAGTTTCTGATGGAAACTGAGTTCATTAAATAACCCTCTCACACAAGAAAAAACCGGCCAAGTGCGAGTCGGGACTGGCGCATGAAGGTTTCCGTACCATTATCTATAAAAAAAATCATGTGTTGTATGGGAACTCCACTTAAATATTCGGCAAACGTTGTTTTGCTATACAAATTATTTCTAGAAAAATTTTAGGGTAGAGACTATATTTGGGGTGTACCACCCTTATCATTTAGGCATATGAAAAATAGATTGTAACTGATTTCAGACAATACATTTCATAAAAATTGATCAAGCCGCTTCGGAGGAGTATCGCAACTAAAATTGTAACATGTGAATTTTATATAAATATAGATACCGTGCAAACTCTTTATAACGTTATTCGTTATATAAGAAATGAAAATATAATAAACTATAATGTTTAAAATTATTGTTATTGTTTATATTTGGTTTATCTGTTCTCTTCATTCCGTTTAACGAAAACTCTTTATGAAATAATGATTGGTCCCTTGAAATCTATATTGTAAGAGATGGTAAAATGGTTGTGGTCTATGGTTCCAAAAGACAGATAGATTATATTATATTAAATCTATTTAATATTACCGTGTAGAAGTTATGTACAGTTCTTTTATAAAAACAGACACACCAACAGTAAAAATAATAGTAATTAAAAAAGAAAATACCGTATATGTACCATATAGGGAGATAAGACAAGCTATCGATTACTTACTAAATATTACGTTCCATTAAATATCATCTACACAGAAGGTATGTATCATTATTATTAGACAACTATTTGCTACTGTTTATAAATAATTAAAGGCTGAATCTAATAAAAAATCACATGGCGTTTAGCTCAGTGGCTAGAGCGTCAGGCCGCGAATGCCGAAGACGTGGGTTCGATTCCCACAGCGGCGACATCTTTTCGTACTTTTTCTACATGTTTTAAAAATAGGTTTTTCAAAAGATTTTTAGCACAATCTATACACTTTATAACAGCAAAAAATTATATGCTAATCTTGATCTTATATTCTAATGGAGCATTATTTTCATAACATATTCTCGATATATTTTCTCGATAGAAAAAAATAATGAAACTACATCAAACATCAACAAATCTTAATGAAATTAATATCAGTGATGTAAAATATTTTCATAACAAGGATTGTTGTCTTAATTTGTTGATTGAAGTACGATATTGGTAAAAATTAATTTAATTCATTAAAATTAATTCGAACGCGACGACCAGAACGCCGCGCCACCGCGGCGTTGGCGTTGTTTCGGTTCTCTTCCATTTCCACATGTTGAACAGAGAGCGCTGAGGCGCGTTGCTAGATGGATCTACGTCGCTCGTCCTCCGTTTACCTTTACGAAATATGTTCCTTATTTATTTAATTTTATTAGATCTTTCGAAAACACGAAACTAAAAAAATGTATATTCACATATTTCGTATTTTTAATTATATGTATGTACAACTAAAGCGTAATTTCAATATCTTATATTTGATTGATAAGGTTTATCAGTCCTATACATACAGTGGGCCATCATTCTATAGGGATTGGCAAATCCCTACATTTCTTTGTTATATTTTTTGGTGATTTTCTTTTTTGTAGGTATTTTTTTTTTGTTTACCGTAGTATTGAACGTAGAATGCAACAGTTGTAGGACAACCTATCAGAATCTGATTTGATAATAAACAAACTTTTCATTATTTGAAATTTTTTACAAGTCTTATATTGTATATAAACAATGTAAGACTTGTTATTTTTTTTTAATAAAATATTTAATTTTCACCCTAAAACGAAATTAACCTTCTATGAACACGAAAAATAATTGTTTTATAATTTTTTCATTAATTTGTTTATTTTCCACATTTTATGAAATAAAAACAAATAGTAAGTATATGACTAACAAATTAAAATTGGAAAAAGATATACAACTCTATAAGGTTTGAACTTGGGACCACCCTAATTGTTCACCTACCATGACGCTCGGACCAATAGGGGCTACACGATGTTTGCGAAAGGTAATAAAATTTCGTTTCTACTTATAATTGTTGTCCTTTATTGATATAAGGAATTTTATCGATAACTTTTTAAATATAATTTCATTGAGCAATTAATTTAACGTAGTAAGTCTCATATTTAAAGGATAAATTAAAGATAGAAAGTTAAGAAAATATGTAACAAAAAAGGCGTATTCGTAATTTCTGCCGTGGAGACTATGAAATTGTTTAAAATTGTTATTACTTTAAAACAAAATAAATTATTATTCGTTTATTTATTGTTTTGTTGTAAGATATTTCATTTGCCTTTATTAATTTATTTGACCTTAACATGTATTTTTAATCAATTTTAATCCGTCCTGATAATTTAAAATAATTAATAGGAAGATTTTCTAAAATTGTTGATTGCTTTCTCATACTTTATATTTGTTTGTTTATTACTATTTCTATAATAATATAAAAGTAAAATACAATCATGGTCTATAAAAGATATTATAGGGATCATCTGTGTACATTTTCGATAGCCTTCCATGATACTATCGATAGTATCCTACGGCCCATCACTACACACACACTAGGTAATGAATGACATAGTCACGCGGCGCGCCGACGAAACTCGCGCGCCTCGTTAAGCGGGGTCACCCCTCCTCCGCTTCCTCATACTTCACCACCCAAATAGTTAAAAATTGACTGCGTACAGCGCCTTGAAGAGTTTACACTGTATGTTTCGAAATCTGTTAAGGAGGCGGCGGCGCGCGCGCACACTGGCGCGCGGCAGCTGCCCGAGGGCAGGTAGGAGCGCCGCGCGGCGAGCCCCCGCCCGCCCCGCACCGCGCCGGCGCGCGCCCGCTCCCCGCCGGGCTGACCGGCCGCCGAGGTGGCGCCGCCGCGCGCCGACACTGCGCCGCCCTCGCCCCCGCCCCCGCCCGGTGCGGGGGCACCGGCGGGCGACGCCACCGCGACGGCCGCCGCGACTCTGTGTACGTCATTAGCACCAATCCGCCGCGCCCATACGCAGCACTGTAATATAGCAAGCGGGCCGAGGCCCCCCGGCCAGTGCTGTAGCCGTGCCCGTGTGTAGCCCCGCTGCGGGGCGCGTTTATTAGAGGAATCCTTCGGCGATGGCGTCCGACGCGCGTCGCTCTGCGAGCGTCGAACTCGAACCGTGTCGAGACGGCGAATCGTGATTCGGCACACGGCTAACGATGCTGACCGCTTAAAGTATTGGTATAAATTTGTGCGAAGAAATTTTTTCGTGCCCGTTCCCCATAAAATAACATGGCCCGGAGTGAGCGGAGTCAGATTGAATAGTGGCAATCTCTGTAACAAAGTACCCAACGTACATTCAAATCTCACAAACGAGTCACGGTGAGACCAGTGACACACCACTAACAGGACTTTCATTGTTTTTTGCTAACACTTATTAGTGGATGCTTATGTTTGTTTTGTTGGCTTTCGAAATATCCGTGTGATTTCCTTTATTATAGAAAATAATAATAGTTATGGAATGTTTAAATCAATTTAAATATGTAAGTTTGAAAACAAAGGTCATCGAATAAGCAGCTTTTTTAAAACTTACTTGTGTTGGTTTTGTTTATGTGTGAGAGGGGTATTTAATAACCTCTGTTTTCATCAGAAGCTCTTACTTTGTAACAGTTTAGTTCTATTATTTAATATTTTATTAAATTAAGTTATACATGTACAATAATGTGTAGACATGGCATATGTATAAACTTATTTATGTAATGCCATCACTAAAGTCACTGCTCCTCTCCAACTTTTTTTATAAAGGAAAATATTAATAACATTCAAATCGTCACTAGCTACTCAAAAAAGTGCTTGTTAGTTTGATTATTATACTCGCAACATTACAAAATGTTTGTATGTAACCTAATTAAATTCTATAATATTTAAATGCATTTCATTTCCTCTAGTATTTATAATGCCTAATTATATGTATGGTTTGTAAATGTTTGAAATTTGAGACTGTGTGAAATGTGTAGTGATTCGGTGAATATGCCATATGGTATTAAGTAAATCTCTTTCGCCTTCACAACCAATGAACAACATTAGATCAACCACTGTCATGATTAGGACATTTATCATATAAGCTCTGTGAAATAAGCAAAGCTATTTTTACCCTGCATGCATGTGGCACATCTTTTAGGACATGCTCTTTGAATTTTTTTGTATATATGTAAACATTGTAAGCTTTGTAATAAACGGTAATATAATTATATAACAAATCTATTGCACTCATAGCGTTACAATTTCATTCCCTTCACTTTTTACCTTTACCACTACTAGCCAGGCTAGTCTAGGTTTGTGACAATAATTGTGAAGTAAAAATAATAAGTTGTTATAGGTTGCCAGGATAATAGGGAAAAATATCAATATATCGATATTTTAGCCAATATATATTGATCCGATACATGGATATAAAAAATTGAATATCAAAATCGTATTAAAAAACGATATTTATATTCAAATTTAATTCAGCGGAATCAAAGCCGTAAATTGTAAAAATGAATGTCTATGACTTTTAGTGTCGCGGATGCAGCATTGGATTTTGTACTAAAATTTTGTTATTTATACTAAAATTTCATGCTTCGTACTTTAATGCTAATTTATAAATAGCATGCAAAATATTAATGCTGTCAATGTTACTTTACATTAATATTTAAATAAAGTTAACAAAATTTAATTATGATCAATTCTCATTAATTAAATGTCACGTATAATATAATATCAAGTTTTCATAGAACAATCTTTAACGTCATAAACATTATTATCAATTAACCAAATAAGTATCTTTTTTAATTTTTCTTCAGCATTTTCATGTCAAGCAAACAACTATTACTAAATTCTGCTGATATAAAGACACGCGTCTCATAAGATATGTCTTTGCGGTTTCCTTTTTCACGTTATTAACTTCGTTCTAAGTAGTACTTTATGATTTTTTTAGAAAGTTACATGTTTTTTTTTATTAGTTATTTTTTTTATTCCATTCAGGGCTAATGAAACTGATTTATCTCATTAAATAAGCTGTTCGTTTTTCCCAACAATGGTATTTTTCAAAAAATATACCTACAAATTTAGGTTAATAAAAGAAATTTGATTAAAATTATTAAATAATTAAATTTCTCATTCATTAAAATAATTTTAATTTGGCGTAAAAATTACTATTACTAATTATTTAATCAGACTGAACTAAACATTATTTTAAACTCACAATTTGACCGATATATCGATATTTTTTTCGACATTCGAGGTCGATATTGATGTTTTTAAAAAATCGATACATATCTTCGGCTTCCACTTCGACTTTCGGCACCCCTACAGGGTAATACCGTGAAGGTCATACATAAGACTTATCAAATGAAGGTGGTTGCAAAGTGATATTCTTTTTATCCATGTCTCTTTTTGACTGTCGGTGTACGCGCTTCTTTCAAATTTTGCTCCATTAATTTTTTCCCAACGTGCCAAAAGAAGTATAATTTCAAAATAAAAATTCTCTGTCATGTTGATTTGATTCAATAAAACATCCACCGTTCTTTTTTGTAATTAACTTATACATAAAAATTAATTGATATTCGTTAGTCTCGCTCAAACTCAAGAGCAGCTGGACCGATTTGGCTAATTTTGGCTTTGAATCCTACTTAACAAGCGCATATAATAAATACTTATTACGATGTCCAAGGCTTTCTATTCAGAAACTCCTTGTTACAACTTACAATGTAACTTATAATAAAATATAATGCTTATCTGAAAATTGATGACAATATAATAACGTGTAGTGTTGACGCAACCAAGAAATTTTTAAATATAACATTAATTTCCTGTTTTACGTAAATAATTAAATAATATTAGGTGACTATAATATTCAAGAAATCAATATGTAAATCAGATGAGTACAGACAGGAAACCGCATAATATAACATTTTCGTTTGATACGAAACATAAACATCATATAATTAAAAGAATACCATATAAATCCAATCCTGGAATATCTTTTCGATTAATGACGTATCGACATATTCCACCGCATGGGACATCCTTAATTATTACTGAATCTTCGTTAATCGTTCGTATCGTTGCCGAGCTGCCAACTGAGGGGGTTTCCCCCAAACTTAGGATAAACAAACTTCCCCCAAACAAACGCCGGATTTTTCTAAGGGCGTTATATATTTTAGGGGTTTTTTGGAAATCTTATTTTTTATTTCGTGTGATTTTCTTTGATTAAGCAAAATAGTGATATAACAATACAGGGCCTGTAGTAACGCAATCTGCCCAATCACATTGATTTGTTGACCTAGCGATATTGTCAGCAATCTAATACGGTTTTTTATTACAAAGAATGTGAAATTGAACTGTGGAGAGCAGAGATAAAAAGTATTCGCATTCAATAACGGTAGTGTAGGATATATAATTTTAAGCCCGATTTACACTGGTCAAGTGTTATGTAAAGTAGACAAGTACAGTGAGTGAGTACAGTTGTATGGGAGAGTTGCGAGGCTTGGCTTGCAATCTACTTTGCAACTAAACACAAATAGAATCGTATTTTATTTATTACTGCAAGTGGTCCTCACGCGCACTTAACCTCCGCACGCCTGGGACAATTGATTCATCACTTGCCTTCGTGTAAACAGTCAAATTAGTACAGTGACCGGCAACAGGAAACAAAATTTGCACGTTTGCTCGTCTATTTCGACAGAGAAATGCCACTATACTTGCTGTAATGTCAAGAGCCACATGTGCGCTGCCCGCCTATAGCCATTGTACTTGTTCTCACTACTCGCCACTGTCCTTGACCAATGTGAATTGGACTTTAAAGAAAGCCCTAAAAGTAATATTTTTTTTATAATTGATTATTATTACATCATATTTTTGGAATTACATTAAAAATATTTTTACAAAATTTCCTACAATTTTTGTTAAAATACTTTTTAAAAAATCAGCATGTTCGCTACAATATCGTTCACTATATTATTCCATTCATGTGGAAATTAAGGCAAAAAATAAATTTTATTTTAAAAAAATTTATTAGGTTTTATGGGTTTTAAACTAAAACTTTAGGGACATTTAGTTTTGATAGTTGGTAACACTGTGTAGTTGTCGTCGTACTCTTATTTCTGTTTTGTTACTGTGGTTGTATACGTTATTTTCAAGGCATTCTAAAAAATTATAGATTCATTAATTTAAGCGATATGGCGGATTCGACAGTAACCGATGTAAGCAAGTTAAAAGTTGTCGATTTAAGAAAAGAATTAAAGACACGTGGATTGTCTTACACCGGCGACAAAGCGGAACTTGTAGCTAGACTTCAAGCAGCTATTGCCCAAGATGACCACGGAGATATTAACTTTGATTCTGATGAAATAGATTCAGACGGTGTATTAGAAGATGAGGATGACAAAAGCCAAAATGATATTTTGGACGATACAGCTGTGGATACATTAAACGAAGAGTTAGCACTCGAAGAGAATTCCGCTAAGCAAACAAATGAGTCGAAACCTCAAAAATCCCTCAAAAGAAAAATAAGTTCAACAGAAACTACCAAGGAAAAACAAGTACAAGACAATAAAGAAGCAAATTGCAAAAAGATTGTCTTAAATAGAGCTACTTTGACATCTGTTCCAAAAGCTGCTGAAGATATTTCAGAGCCTAAATCAGAGGAAAAGCTTCCCAGTAACAACAATAGGGTAAAAATTACTGCTGATTTAGATCCCAAGACAAGGTTAGAAATGAGAGCAAAAAGATTTGGATTGCCTGTAAAAATGACAGAGGCCGAACGTAAAGAAGCAAGGAAACAGCGATTTGGCCAAGCAGATACCAACACATCAGTTATAAAAGACAGTATAACTTCTACTTCACTACAGGAAAATTTAGAAAAATTTAAGCAAAGAGCACAAAGATTTGGACAATCAGTGTCTTCAATAATGACTGATATTGAAAATAAAGAAAAATTAGAAAAGCGTAAGGCAAAGTTTGGGATTGCAAATTGATTCAGAACTTATTTGTTTAATACTAATTAAGAAGTAGAATGTTTAATACTGATTGGGAAATATTGAAAAAATGTTAAATATATTAACATTTTGTTAATTTAAGGAATACTTAATAAATATAAAATAGTAAACATATAATATGTATTCATTGAATTATCTTCAATATGTGAATATTTATTCTTTATCGTCCAAATTTTTCTACTTAAAGTAATAGCAACCTAAATATGTAGTCACTCTTGCTCTTTTCTTGAACTATTTTGTATTACACCATAAATTTGGTTGCACTTAAAGGTTTCTGTTACATTTTATCGGAAAATCTACACAGGTTATTCTCAGTTAATCATAATAAATACAATATTCTATTATCAATAAATTGTATCTTGCAGTACAATAATGCCACCATATTAGAGAAATTCATAACTGAGAGATAGTTATGGTTTTACACATTCACTTTTTATAAACATACTAAGTCATGACTAAACTTAATGACACAAATACAAATGTATTATTTGTTACTTTATTACAAGTTGTTATAACATGAAAAAATTAGTCATAATAAATTAATCTAATATTTCATCATTATATTAAAACTATTAATACTCCCTACTTAAATTTTGTAATAAACTATATTGAATACCTATTCATTTATATTTTCAAAATAACTATTAAATGGTAATTCTTCAAAATGTTTTGGGTTAATGACATCAGGGCATTCAGCAAAACATTCAGCTTTAACTTCATCTTCAGTTAGGAAATCCTGTGGTATGTTCATACTGAATTCCATAAATGCTTCTTTATATAATGTAGCCCACCTTTTGGCTATATTTTTATCCAAAGACTTTCTAAAAACTAAGCAATGCATATGCTTGTGCTTCTCATATTTAATTCTTGAAAAACCTATACAGGCTAAAGTATATCGCCAACATTTCATTAATTTAAAATTTGCTCCAACATGTTTGGAATCTGGAGTATTTATGATTAACAAACCTCCTGGTTTTAATAGATCATAAGCTCTCTTGCATGTTTCAATTCTTAATTCCGAATTTGGTATGTATTCAAGGAGAAAACAAAATGTTACTGCATCATAACTGTTTTTCTGCAGTTGTAGTATTTTTTCATCCAATATGATTAAACTATCATCTATGATAACATTTAAAAAGTCACATTGGTAAACAGATTGGTTTGCTGGACATAAGTCAATAGCCAAAACATCCATAAAATCATATTTTTTAAATGGATTATAGCAACTGCCGACATCAAGTAGTTTCAAAGGAAATGAAAAAGCTTCTGTTGTTTTCAACGAGATATTAATTTTAGTTAATATATCTATTTCCTTATGACGAAATTTTAAATAATTATTCTTCATAAAGTAATCATAACAGAAGTCTACACACCACTGTATTCGAGAAACAACAGTGTTAGATTTATCTAAGCAATTATTGTCCCAATGTATAGTGGCTAACTTTTCCATGCATTTTGCATACGTATTCAAAATCTTTTCATTACTACAGTGTTCTAACCACGCTTTCTGGGCACCTATTTTAGAAGAAGACTTTCTTAATGAAGCATGAACTTGTTTTATATAATGTGCTAATTGTTTGTGTTCCTTACTGGCCATACTAGGATAGTTCGATATTTGGCTCGTTCGCTTACATACGATTATCAGTATCAATTCCTAACCGTATTTACACGATATTTGAGAAATCTCTATATATATATAGGATTTACACACAAAAAAGTACATAAAATGTATTTAATATTTATACTATCTATATATATTTTTTTTTTTTTTTTTTTTTTTTATTGTGGCATTTTGTTATCCTTTATGCCAATGACAAGTAAAAGGAAGGAAACAGTGGTTTTGTTGAAATATAAATTTATTTCCACAGGACTAGGAAGCGGAATTTGGAAAAAGGAAAATAATCAAGAAGACTTACGATACATATATTCAATGTGATAAAGTATTATTAATTACAGAATATTTAGTTTTATTAATATCGTATTTACACAAATACACATAATACATATACATATATACACACACACATATATATATATATATATATATATATATATATATATATATATATATATATATATACCCATAAATACACACATACATACGCATACATTTATATATATAAACCTATTAACCAAATTATACTATAGTTTTATAGCATTTTTCTGAATAAATGAAGCTAATGTTTTATATACACAAGGGTCGTTATATGCTAAAAGGAATGGTATATTAATAGGAAAAGGTATCCGGAGCAATAGAAGATCAGTAAAAAGAGAGGAGCGGTCATATAATGGGCAAGAAAGGAAAATATGGTTCAAATTTCCTTCTTCCGTTCCACAAGCACATAAAGAAGTATCTACAACATGAATCTTAAACAGAAAAGACGGAGAACAGCAGTGACCTAATCGCAAACGAATTAAAGAACTAGTACAAATATTTAAATTGACTTGAGTGTACCAAGGCTTATTTGGAATTGTCGGTTGAATTGAGGAGTAGAATTTTCCTTTCACTAGGCTAGGAGATGTCCAGTAATGTTCCCAGGACTCTTTCAAATATCGCTTCGACAAGGAAAGAAGATCGTGACAATAATTAGTGTAAGGATATATATCACCGCTTAACACGGCTTCATTTGCTAACTCGTCTGCCTTTTCATTTCCTTTAATGCCGCTATGCCCGGGAATCCATGCAAAAACTACTGTAATGTTTTTAACTTGGCATTTGTATAACAATTTTCTTATTTCTAAAATTATAGGATATTGGCATTTTGATTTAAGCGGAAAATGTGCTAATGTTTGTAAAGAACTTAGAGAGTCCGTAAAAATTATAGCTTTACATAAGTTTGTTAATAATATATATTCTACTGCGCGAAATAGACCAAAACATTCCCCAGTAAATACTGATGATTCGGGAGGTAATTTAATTTTTTGTACAATATTATACTGAGAATGAAATACTCCAACCCCAACACAACTATTATTGGTATGTTTAGAAGCATCACTATATATATAGTGCCAATTCTCCCAGTTATTTTCAATAATGAATTTAAAAGCTGTATGAATTTCTATTTCATCTTTTTTTATTCCAACATTGAGTTTTATGGAGGGTGTAAGAGTCAAGATTTTATAATCGGTTTCAAACAGTGGAAGAGTTTTGGAACGATACATGGGGGCTTCAATAGCAAGATATTTTTGGTAACTTTTAACAAGACATGGCAATTCCTTGAGTTTCCAATACGAAGATGAATTAATGACTTGACATAAGGTTTGTAGTTTTGTTATTAAAGGATGGTTTAAAATTTGTAAACAACGAAACAGGAATCTATCAGCTAAATATTGTCTTCTTAAGTGGAGCGGCGGATCTCCACATTCTAATTGAAGAGCATTAATGGGACTGGATTTCATTGCACCAGATATTATTCGTAAAGCTTTTGATTGAATTAAATCGATTTTTTTAAGACCAGATGCGTTACAAGGTTCCAATAAAAATGTACCATAATCTACAATGCTTCTAATGACAGCGTTGTAAACTAACTTTTAGGAGATGGGGTGCGCACCCCACCATACACCAGAAAGGCATCTTAACATATTTAGTTGACGTTCACATTTTGCTACTACATAATCGAAATGCGGAATGCCAGTAAGTTTTGAGTCCAATATTAGACCTAAAAATTTTGCATTATTCTTAACTGGAATTGGACTATTTTTATAAGAAATGTGGATTTTTGGAAGAACACGTTTTCTGGAAAATATTACAGTGGTACTTTTAGAGGCAGACAATTCAAGACCATTTGATTCACTCCAAATACTCAATAGACGCAAAGAGTAATTTAAGCACTCACAAGCTTTATGAGCAGATTCATCCGAAACATACAGAAGTAAATCATCTGCATACTGTAGAATATTTGCAGACCCATTAAGGAAATGTTCTAAATCATAGTGTATATATTATAGAGTAACAGACTAAGAACAGAGCCCTGGGGTAATCCTTTCCAAGTCGTCCTGGATATTTTATGTCCATTTTCTAAAAAAATATGTATAGTCCTCTCATATAACATGTTATAAATGAAGTTAATGAATATTTTTGGAACTTTTAAATCAATTAATTTCTGCCGTAACAGATGCGGAAGAACACTATCATATGCAGAATTTATGTCTAAAAACGCAGATAGAAGGAAATTATTATTTGTGAACGCCAGTCTTATATCAGTAGTTAAAATACTCAAGCTATCTATCGTACCTCTTCCTTTCCTAAAACCAAATTGACTGCTTGCTATTATATTTTTATTTTCAGCAAGCCATTCAAGCCGGTTTTTCACTAAATGTTCTGCAAGCTTACCTATTACAGATGATAATGCTATTGGCCTGTAAGATGTGGCCTCAGTAGAAAGTTGCCGGGTTTAAGAATAGCAATGATTTCCTGTGTTTGCCAAGACTTTGGTATATTGCTAGTTGCTATTATGGAATTTAAAAGATTTAAAAAGTAAGATAAAATTTTTTCGTCTAAATTTGAAATAAAAGAGTATATAATACCATCCTCCCCAGGGGCAGAATCCTTAAGATATGATAATATGCCTTTTAATTCTGACATAGAAAACTGCGAGGCTAATTCGGAGTGATCGTTTAAATTACACTCTAAATTTGGGTGGCGAAATTCTGGAGCAAAAGGGGGGGCAAGTCGGTCTGTAAAATCTTCAGCAAGATCTATTGGAAGAGATATTGAGGGAGAACTAATTTTACTACATCTGAATCGTCTGATATTTTGCCAAAGAACTGAAGGATTAGTATTAGGAGAGATCGATGAACAGTAATTTTTCCACCCTTCGATTTTCTTCATCTTTAAAATTTTGTGTGTGTTGGTACTTATAACTTGAAAACTTTCAAAATTTTCTGATGTCATAGATGAACAATATTGTCTTTCTGCAGTCTTTCTTTTTTTTAACAGCTTCAGAGCATTCTTTATCCCACCATGGCGGGGGTGA